TGATTAGCTAAATTGACTTAATTAACTTTGTGGCATCAACTAATTAACAATATTTGTTTCTATATTTAAAATACATTTAAAAACTTCTTACCCATGAGTGGCCACTGTATTTAATGACTTTATTTTTTGTGACAACACTAAGACCTTTTAGCAATTGTTAGGATTTAAAGAATACTATAAAAAGGTTTATAACACAAAGTAAATTGGCAGCCAGTAAGTGCTTCAAATACTTTGTTGCACAATATACACACATACATAGAGTTGGTTTCTGCTAACTTCATACATACACATCTATTACTGTATACTGCAAGTAATGACTACCGACCAACAGACGACAGTGAAATACTTCCCTTCTATTTATTAGAAGTGATGATAAGATGGAAACAACTATGCGAACAGAAAATCCATTCAGTTGTCGTAAAAATTATATTAAAATACTTTTATTTAACAATAATTTTCAATGACTTGTTTTCGTGATTGCTTTCGGTTTTTTATTTCACCTTGAAAAGTGCAACTAAATAAAAAAAGGTTGACTTTGCGAACTATTAGTGCAACTTGATGAACTTTAAAAATACATGTTGAGTATCTCAATATGCATTAGGATGAACTCACTATTGTGATTGTGTTTAAGTAGTTACACTGTTGTTTTTCTCTATATTAGATAAAGAAGGTTATTGCACCCTTAATGTCCTACGAACGAGGTAGGTCTTTAAAGTCGATTATTGAAACTACAGGCGTTTAATCTGGTGGCTATGTATCTGCAAAAAGTCATGCCATATGTAATACCCAAATACATCAAATGGGTACCAGGCCACTGGAGAAAAATGGGCAATGAAAGAACGAAAGTACTTGCAGTAAAAGAAGGGAACTCGAGGTTTTGCACTCGTTACAGTAACTTACGAGTGCGAAACAGTTCGATGCAACAAGAGCTGAATTAAATATACGGATGAGGGAATCTCATAAGGCTTGTTCATTGCCATAGTGGTTCCTGTAAGCAGGGATCCATGTCAAACAGGCGACCCAGCTTTGACAGATCCCTCTTGCATTGTCTGACCAATATAAAAGTTTAAAAACTGGGAATAATGAAACAGTGGGTGAAACCATAAAGATTCTGTTGGGTAACCCTAACGTGAAGAGGACGATAAGCCTCCTCAGAATGAAAAAGTCTAAAGTTATTATGATGGTACATATTCAGAGTGAAGACACCAGATTACAGGCACAACTACATAAAATTGGACGAGCGGATATAGAGCAAGCGGAGTTGACAGTGAAACTTTCGAACACTTTTTTTATTGCAGATTTTACATCCTTTACGAAAAACTGTTATACGCTCCTTAAATCAAATTCAATTTAATGTATGTATTATACATCTTTATCTCAATCTATAGGATAGGAAGGATATTGTTACAATTTTTAAAGCAATCAACGATTTTCTGAAAAAAATTAAGCCTTCTTCGTCCAAGCTGATAGCTTTTCTGAATGCACAGGAAATGTTCGAAAAACTCTAATGCCAAAAATTGGAGATTGGAGCCTCTCTTTACATAGAATTTTTAAAACCAAATTATGCACAGAATATGTTCGAAAAACTCTAATGCCAAAAATTGGAGATTGGAGCCTCTCTTTATATAGAATTTTTAAAACCAGCAACCGACCGATGTCTCAAAATCTACAAAACCCAGACTTATTAAAATTGTACTTTATTTATTTGAAAGTGTAACTGACAATTGAGCCGCTAAGCTTGTTCAATTCCACTTCTATATCGATGGGAGCTTATTGAAGAACTTCTTAAAAACCACGACCAAACTTCATGTAGACAGTTTACTTTCTTTTACATTTCATATGAGACTATTTGATGTCGTAAAAATGCATTACTTGTCTTTATTTAGACGGTTGTCTAGTTTTATTGCATTAATTTAATAGTTTGCTGTCATAGAAGTGATAAGAAATGCAAATTATATTGTCTTTATTATAAGGATGTTTACATAAACAAAACAAAACAAAACACATTTGCCACTTTATATTTGCTTATATTTTACAATTGTTAAAATTATCTTATCTAAAAATAATCACCTGATTTTAAAGAATCTTTGCAAAGAAAACTGCTTTTAGCAATAGAAATTGTGATTGTTTTTAATAGAATGACAGTTACAATTGTTTATTAAATAAAAATAAACAAGCAAGTGAAAGTGTTTTAAGTTGGTCATGAATACCGGTTACACTTTTTTTCTTATGGTCAATGAAACTAACAGAAAATAAACAGGACAGGTTAAGCCGATTTGCTGTTAAATTTTGTTTGCGTGTATTACTTACTAACGAGTAAGTTTAATTGGTGGTAAAATAAACTAAATAAAAACATTGTAATTTTTTTGTTATTAATACTTATTAACAAAACTAGTTAATGTTTTAAATTACGTTTGTTTGTTTTTCATGTTCATATGTGATTAAACAACATATTTTGTTTAAATGATGTAAAAATATTATTAACAAATGTTTCCAAATTTGTTTAAAGTATTTACTTGCATATTATTTTAACCAATTTTGAACGTATATTTTATTGCAGTGGCATTAGAGCCTTTTAATAACCGGTGGATATAATAATGTAACAAAATAATCGTAGACCGGAAAATTTAAAAATTAGCACTTTCGGTATATCCGTCAACTATAGAAGTTGAAATCATCACATTGGTTTTACTGCAATCCCAAGGTATATACTAGTATCTCTTGTACCGCATGATTATAAACAGGTGGAACAAATATATATGGAACCGGTGTCCCGAAAGACTTTGTAATGTAGGACCAAACATTGATAATGAGTTGATGTTGCAAACTCACCCCACCCGCATACCCAGGTCAATGTGTGGGATGTTTTTCTCTTGGAATATGTCTGATTATAAGGTTGTATGATGGGTTTAATGATGATGGATTCACGGAATCCTCTTCCCGCGTGAATGTGTCCGACGTTTTTCTCTACGAATATGTCTGATAATAGAGTTGTATGATGGGTTTACTAATGATGATGGATATACGGAATCCTTTTCATTTGTTATCAATGAAATTCCCTTCTTTGGGAGGGTAAGTTCGGGGTTTACGCTGCTCGTACCAGACTTACTGCAGTGGGTCTCCTGTAAGAAACTATGTATTGGCTTATTGATGGAGATCGTACCACTAATTACATCTTTAGGTGCGGTTGTCGAATCAACAGAATCCATATTATCAGCGTGGTTGTGGCTTGGATTATCTAGGAATGTTATGGCCTAAATATTGCCGAACCTTAAGCCACGGATAGCTCAAGTAATTGAGTAAAGCTTTTGTAAATAGACCGGCGTGAGACATGGCTGTTCTTTGCAAGTCACAAAGGGGCATGTCACACTGTAGTTGAAGAAGCACTGCTAGCTGGTTATTATTCGCTTGAGCTTATATCCATACGATTTAGACATTTTGTCACGTCATTCATGCCTTAGTCCGAAAATTTGGATCAGGTTCCCATTTGGTAAATAATCGGCCGATACTTGTACATTAAGAAAATGGGATGTGGATTCCAGAATAGAATATCGATCGCAGTAGATTCCTCTACTTATTATGAACATAAACATTTGAAAAAAATTTCATGTGTTAGCATTATTGTTCCATAGTGTTCGAACAATGCTGTATAATGTGGCCCATTTATTCTTTGGAAAGATAAATATGACGAAGTGGCTTACAAGATGAAACCTCTGAACATATATTTAGTAACTCTTCTTCGTAAGTCTCGTAGAGTGAGGGTTCTTGACACTGTCTTGGTTGGTTAACGTAGTAGTTCACTGCGCGCGAACAGTCAAGTAGAGTCGATGAGACTCCGTTTTGACCGGACCACTCCACTCGTCAGATGTACCGCCACCTTGCAAACTAAAAAAGCCTACATGACCAAAGGTTATCCACACCGTCCCTAGTTCCTATTCCCTTGGTAATCCCTTTCTTTCCCCCATTATCCCCTTCCTCCACTTATAAGGTTAAGGTGGTTTGTAGCAGTGCCGAGAACCTGAATGGCTAATTAGTGGTAAAAGAAGATTAGCCGCTAACAGCTCCCCTCCGGTGCCACGACACTGGCCGGTTGTAATGCCTAGTCTAATCCAAGTACGCCGTCACTGCGTACAGCACCAAAATATGGCGCTGTCTTACTAGCTCTAAAAGGGTATTTCGAACTTCTCTCTAATTAAGACTGTGAGTTTAAGGCGTTGGGTCAAATGTGTTGGGTCAAAATGCTTAATGGCTCCCCTAATTTAATTATTGGTGATTGGTTTTTCAGTAGTTCTATGTTGAAACTATCGAAATTGTTTCATATAGTTTTCCATACTCCGATGTTTCCTTTTTAACTGTTGCTAATAACAGAAGATATCACCTGTTTAACATAATAGTCAAATCTGGTGTCGACTCCAAAGTTTTTACTTGTTTATGAGCACTTGAAGTCCCAGGGAAACTTAAAAATTTAAGTCATTTATAGAAGTGTTGTTCTCTCTCTCGGAGTACAATAATGTTGGAATCAAATCTGGACAAACTGAATCATATTTCGTTCGATGTTTTATTTTTAACCTGTTTAACTTAATAGTCAACTCTGGTCCCGATTCCAATGTTTTTACATGTATATCGACACCTGAAGTCCCGGGTAACTTTAAAATTTAAATCATTTATAGAAGTTTCTCTTTCTCAAAGTACAACAATGTTAGAATCAGATCTGGACATACTGAATCATATTTCGTCAGAGAAAGTAAACTTTGTTAGATTATTTTTAAATATTTTAATTAATTTTTAATAAACCATGTCAATAACTATTATATGTAAATTTTTTTAACATTTTTTTATAAAAACAGTTTTGTTAACCACTAAATAATTATTCAAATTACAAACTTCAAAGGTTTACTACTGCCTTATCATTAAAAATAGTTTGCAAAACCACATCAATAATATTTATTCAATATAAAATACATAATACATATGAACTTGTTAACAGTTAATATTTTAAAATCGTTGATAAAATGTCACCAACTAGAGCAAATCCTTTGTTAACACAAAAAACTTTTCAAGATTTTTGTGATTTACCAGATTCAATATTGTCTAGCATTGGTTACGATTTGATAAATAAACCCCATACGATTTGGTTGGTTGTTCTTAAAAAGTGTTATTTTGTTGCAGCATTTTTGTCTCATCTCTATATTTGCGTTTACATTACGAAAGCTATGTTCAACATGATTCTTTCCGATGATTTCGAATTGGGTTTATTGCTGCGTTTAACTTCTGGCTTCAATTATGCCCTGTTTTCGATAATGAAATCGACAACGTTTTTTTGGAACATCAAAGAGTTTATGGAAATCTATAAAGCTCTTAAAGAAATATTTCCCAAAATTCGCAAAGAAAAGTTAAGCTTTAGAGTGCGCGACTATTTTTGGCCAAAATGGATTTTATTTACAGTGTATTTTTATATTGGAGCTGTTGCATTTATTGCAACTTCACCTCTAATGGAGGGTATTATTTTGTATATTGTAAGTGTATTTAGAGACGGTTGGAGTCGTGCGGAATTTGGTTATTTCAAATTATACGAAATAGAATATAGCTTTGATCATCATAGTGTAATTGCTTATATAATTACCTATGGGATGGAACTAATGCATGCACATTTTATGGTAATGTTTAGTATTTGTTCTGATATCTGGGTGCTTTGCTTTACTCTACAATTATGCATGCACTTTGACTATATCGCTGGGAAGTTGGAAAATTATGAACCAAATGAAAAGGAATTTGTAAAAGATCGGGAATTTATTGCCGATTTGATTAAAAGACATCAAATATTATTGAAGTACGTATTTGGATAATATGGAAAACAATGTTCCAAGAATATCTATATTCTTCTTTTGCAGTATTGGTGATGGCTTAAATTCCGTTTTTGGTGGCTTACTTCTTTTAATGCTAATGTCAATTGCTGCCACACTTTGCTGCGCCGGGGTTTATACTTTAACCCAGGGTTTGGGCCGAGAATTTATAGAATATGTGGCATTTCTACCCATTGTAGTTGGTCAATATTTTTTGGTTTGTTATTATGGTCAGCAATTGATTATAAAGGTATGTAAGTTTCGCTGTTAATAGCATCTTAAAAACTCTTGTTTTCTTTTTTCCCCTGCAGAGTTATAGTGTAGCTGATGCCGCTTATAATCATACTTGGTACAATGGTTCCAAACCGTATAAAAAATCAATTTTTATTATTATAATGCGTTCTCAGAAGGAAGTGGAATTAAATGCTTTAGGCTTTCAACCAATATGTTTGGAAGCTTTTAAAATGGTAATTATTAAGTTTGAGTTTCTAATTGGAGTATAATTTTGTGATAAAATACTATTTGCTCATTTTATTTTAGGTTATGGGAGTAACTTATAGAGTATTTGCTTTGTTAAAGGAAACTATGTTTTAAAAGAAAGATCAAACTATATTTTACATATTCACAAATACCTTTAGATAGTTTTATGGGCCAGTTTCTTTAAATGCGAACGAACTTTCATTGTAATTTTGTATTGAAACTAACAACATATTTCGAATTTATTTGAGGAACAGTCTCGATATATTTATATAGGAATGTCCTACCTAAATAATCCAATAGTACATGATCAAATATCCCGATAAAGTGTTAGTTGTTATAAAGTTTAAAGCACGTATAAAAACTTTTAAATAATCATATCGGCATTGAATAAAATAATATTTAAATATATATTAATGGTTCTCAGAATGGTGGTATATTTTGGGAATTGTTTAAGTTGAAATTTTTGGTTTGTTGTTGTTTTAACAGCTAAAACTATACAATAATCAATCAAGGGGTTCTGTATTGCATTCAACTGGATTCGCCCATAAATCAATTGGACAATGTGAAGTAGGATTGGCTAAGCAGTAAAATATGTGTTAGGTATCATGGACCCCCGATCACACTTGTACCAGAACAACTATGGTTTTCTTGGCATAGGTTGTATGCAGCGGGCGATCTTCAACCGTGACATTGATGGCGTCTCTATGAATGTCGTTCAAAGCTGTCATATGCGATCAATCCAACGAATCCTAAACATAATGGTGTATGTTTTTCTCATACACTCAGTTTTGAATGTTTCACCACTAAGGCAAGGTGTATTGATTAGGTTTTCATCGAAAGGTTTTCTTCGATGCCTGCTATAGGCGGTGGGCGTCCTAAAAGTACGACATTCATTCGGTATCCTGCAATCATATTATTGATGGCGTCTCTATGAATTCCGTTCAAAGCTGTCGTATACGAGGATCGATCTAACGGATCCTACAAATACATGCACATGTTTTCTTCGAATACACGAAGGGTCTTTTCTGTCATTACTCTGGGGAACATCCAACTGTGTAACATTTAAGTTATAGGTGGTGGTCGACCACCAAGTACGATATTCATGTGGTATCCTGTAACCGCGGTTTTGATGGCCTCTCTATGAATGCCGTATAGGAGGATCGATCTAACGGATCCTGTTTTACTCGTCTACGCGAAGATCCTTCTAAGTGTGTAACCTTAAAGTTGCTATGACTCCTCCAGTGAAACTTTACATTGTGTTCCTTAACTGGTGTAGGTGATGACCGAAGTAATTTACATTAGGTTTGGGTAAGAAGGGTAGCCGCTCAATCCATCATGACTGGCTCACATGGGTCCACCCAGTGGCGGTCCCGTTGTGATGCCCTAATGGTCGTAGGAGTCCATTTAATTATTACTTCCAGATTTAAACCAGCCGGTTTGATTCACAAAGTTTAAGATAGAGCAGCAAAGCCGAAACAATGTTCTCTGCTTTCATTGAATGATGGGCAGTAGCAGAGAAGGTTAGGTATTGTGTTATCTTAGCTTAATAATAAGCTTGATCTGGGAGCATCGTATAGAGACCAAATTGACCTCGAATTTCGCTGAACCATCTGATTTGAGGCATTTCATATAGTTCAGTTTGAACCAGTAACTTACAGTTTGTAAGGAATATACCAGTAAATGCGTCGATTTCGTCTTCCCCACGCATCGCACCATTCCTGGCGATTTCGTCAGCTATACAGTTCCCCTGACAATTACTATGTCCAGGGACCCATATTAACGTCTCGCTATTTCATTCAGATATATCTTTGCCAGTAAAAACTACCGTAATTAGGTAGCCTAAAAGAGGATCTAACTCCAAATATTTCAGTGTAAAAGCTACTATCCACCCTTCCATTCCTCTTGGAGTCGTCAGTGTAAACATTTGTTACACCATTAGTTGAGTGGAACTCGGGTATGAAAGCGTCTGCCGAAGTGAGGTTTCGCCACACAATAGTCTACATTAAGAAGCTTTGAATGCTTCTTCACTGGGTATTACTAATGGAAGTTAATTCCTCAGCATTTTTTATTCGATTGGCGTCTCCAAGAATCTTCTTCAAATTTGTCATGTACAAGAATAACGCGTTCAAAGCTCCCTCATACAACTGCGTATTTTTATTTATCACATGCCTCGAGGAAGCAATAACCTTAAAGTTATTATGACTTCTTCGGTGACATACCATTAAGATCTGTATGATTAACATGACATTTTGTTCCTTAGTCCTTAAAAAAACACTTTGAGAGCTTTGAATGTTTTTCCACTGGATATCACTAAACAATGAAACGTGTTCAGTTGGAATTTGTACTTTCATCAATTACAACACCAGGAGTAGGATTTACATTCTTCATCCAAGTGGTGTTGCTGGCAATTTCGCTGTTGATTTCTTTGTCTATGGCCCAAGTGCTTTCGTGTGCGCTTTGAGTGTGCAGGTACAGAAGAACTGATGTATTTCGTTAAGATAACCATTGACAAAAACGCATTATTCATAAAACTTTAGGCCCGACGGTACAGACGTCGGCATAAAAATTACATCCGCTCCTTGTGGTATAAATTAAATAGAACTCTGCCTTGAGATATACCTTGTTTAACTTTAAGAGGTTTTGAGCGTTTTCTGTAAAAGACTGACATTTTCAGTTCCAAAATATGTAAATTTTCCAACTTTTAGAATATCGCCATATTAAAATGTGAGAAAACCTTTAAAGTAAAATCGATCCAATTAGTAGTGTCGGTACATAACGGGACTTCTTCTATAACAGTTTTTTTCCTTCATTTTGGAAAATTATTTTACAAAATAACAAATGAAATGAAGTATTAAAATTCTAAATCTTTTAATAAATCAGCAATAATGTTAATAAATCACTGTATATTATATTTCTTCTAAAGGCACAAAGCAAAAGTTTTTCAAATTAATTAAGTGAGTTAAACACACTACTTTTCAACAATAATTTTAGTATATAAAATATTCTCAGACAAAAAACATAAACTAATTAAGACAACAATACAGAAATTCTTGAGAAATTAAAAGGAAGAAACTAAAGTTTAAATAAAAATCATCCGACTACAGAACAATATCAGTCACCACATACTTTAACATACATAAATACATTTAATAAGATTTGCATACGAAATATTTATGTAAATCAAGAGAAGTATGGAAGTTTTACTTGTAGCTAAAAACGAATTCTTTAACTGCGCTATAAGTTCTCAAAATATATTTTAGTTTAAAGATCTTTTCAATGTAATGAAATAAGGTACATTGAGCAGTTCAATATGTGCGACTATCATAGAGTCTGAAAAGATGCAAAAACAGGGGTCAAATTATGCAAGGTCTATGTGGAACCAGTCTGCATTAAGCTTGCTATACCTCCACATCAAAATTCAATGTACGTCGACTATTAACATCTATAACAAGGCGAATAGACTATAAGGTGAAGTCCATGGCGAAACTAATAAGGTGAAGTCATTTCAACAGCTGATTGTTTTTTGTCCATGGAAATTTAGCCCGAAGTTGCCAAACTCAATATAAAAAAATTCTCTCTCAAACCCGACGCTGTCAAACTACATATATAAAAAATTTCATGAATTCGCCGCAAAATGAAATGACTTCACCTTATAGTCTATTCGCCTTGGTGAAGTCATTTCATTTTGCGGCGAATTCATGAAATTTTTTATATATGTAGTTTGACAGCGTCGGGTTTGAGAGAGAATTTTTTTATATTGAGTTTGGCAACTTCGGGCTAAATTTCCATGGACAAAAAAACAATCAGCTGTTAAAATGACTTCATCTTATTAGTTTCGCCATGATCTATAACATAGACCACCTTGAAGCTCTTAAGTCTCTCACCTGCATGTAAATATTCCTCCAGCTAAGGTATTGAACACGATCGACGAATGGGCTATTGGCCAAACATGGCAATACAGGTTAGAGAGTTCATTGGAAAATGCGTAACAGGGCGACAGATTAATCGGAGCTCAGGAGGTCTACTGTTGCCACTTGCAGAATATTCAAAATGTTCTAGGACTATCTTTCGCTGAAAAGGTCTTAACGCTTTTAAACTTTGATAGAAGTTTGTTAAGAGTTCTGCCTATAAGAACTCTTAACGAACTTCTATCACTTCTATACTTACTGGGCACAGTATGATTGGATGAATGGCAGTTACTTCAGAATATAACCTAACCTACCTATGTTATCGTCTGGGAGAACCTTTATTTAATTGTATGGTTAGATTACCAGGTGAATTAAATATTTCCAATCAATCAAACACTTTACAAATACTATTTAGAAACACACTATATCTCTCTACTTTTGTAGATTTAAAAAGAAAACAAAACAATATTCAACATATATTGTTAAGGAATCATCAGTAGTGGAGTAGTTTCTTATGAAGAAGGAAGTAGGATCGAATAGTTTTATTGTGTTAATAAAATATAAATACACATGCATAGGGTGTTCAATTTCTTCAGTCTTAAGCTTTTATTTTCTTATGAACTTTTCTAAATAAACATCAAGAAATCAAAAATCGGGCACCCTATGTATTCGTAGATTCATACAACAGATACAACAAAAGGAACCTCTCAATAACTACTGTCATATTCATCTCCAACAACAATACATACTATAAGTTTTTTAGGGAGTCAAACAACAGCACAACACAACAACAATAATAATTGGGTAACTGACATAAAGAAAATTCTTAAATACATCATAATCAAGTTTATGACAATCGACAATAAAGATGACGACTCCGATGTCTGAAGTGAATAAAATGAAGTGGAATATTTAGTAAAACTGTAGAAATTTGTATACTACAAATGAAAAGTATTCACATAAGGGCGTGCAATATTTAAATAGGACTTACTTAAGAAAAAGTACCATTTAGAAAAGTACTTTACGGTTTATTCTATTGATGCGTCTAGTTAAGAAATTGTGTATTTCATCATTCACCATTTTGGTGGCGATCTGCTGTAAGGTGGCTGGACAGCTAAGGAGGAGAGTCTCAAGAGTCTTCGCGACTGGTGTCAGAAGGGAAAGGGGCGTGTCTCTTGGTCGCGTTCTTTCCTGGATCGTGTAACGTGGTGATTCTATTTTTTTCTAGGCACTCGGTATTATTAGCCTACTCGTTGACAGG